AGGGAGAGGGAGAAGCAGGCAGAGAGAGAGGGAGAAGCAGGCTCCCTGCTGAGCAAGGAGCCCGACCTGGGGCTCGATCCCAGGACCCTGGGATCATGACCTGAGCCGGAGGCAGCTGCTTAACCAACTGAGCCACCCAGGAGCCCCGAGTCATAAGAGTTTTTTATATATATTCTGAATGTATGAGCAGGACTGCTCTTGATAAATCTTTTCATTTTCTTTCATCTGAGAATGTCTTTTTTTTCACTTTTATCCTTGAAAGAAATTTTCATATTTTCACTGGATGTAGAATTCTGGGTTGATAAACTCTTGTAGTGCATTAAATATGTGGTTCTGCTCTCTTCTGGCCTTCATGGTTTCTCTTGAGAAATTCATGGATATTTGAATCATTGTTTCCCTATATGTCATGTGTGCTTTTATTTTTTCTTCAGCTGCTCGCAAGAATTCTTTACTTATCTTTGGATTTTAGAAGTTTGGTTATTGTGTTGAGGCATTGTTTTCTTTGAGTTTATTCTATATGGAACTTGCTAAGTGTCTTGAATCTGTAAATGTATGCCTTTCACAAAATTGGGGAAGTATTTTGCCATTCTTGCTAAAGATTTTTATCTGTTTCGATCTCTCTTCTCTCTGTGAGACTCTAATTATACTATATTAAATCTTTAGATGCTATCTATAGACACCAGTCACTCTGACTTTTTGTTTTCAATCTTTTGTCTCTGTTTGGTAGGTTGGATAATTTATATTGTATATTCAAGTGTACTGACCCTTTATCATCTGTATTCTGATATTAAGTCCATCCAGTCATTTTTTTTTTCACTTCAGGTATTGTATTTCTCAGTTCAGTAAGTTCCAATTGGTTCCTTTTTCTATTTTCCATTTCTCTGTTGAGAATTTGTATCCTTTCCTTTACATCAAATGTGTTTTCCCTTACCTTGTGAAGCATAGATATAACAGCTACCTTAATTTCTTTGATAATTCTGTCTTCAGATTGGCATTTGCTTACTGTAACTTTCCCTTGAGAGTTCATCCTGTTTTCCCAGTTGTGTGTATGTTGAGAGATTCTGAATTGTGTCCTGGACATTGCAAATGTTATGTATTGTAGCCTCTGGGTCCTGTTGTAAGCCTCTGAAGAATTATTGATGTTGAAATTAACTAGGTTATATTCAGACCCTAAGTTCTATCTCATTTTCTGTTGTTAAATCAATTTAAAAAATACACATATGCATATCTTTCCACTTGATATTGGAGATCACTCTAAGACTCAGCAATAATTCATTTATTCACCTAGTCACTTTATTACTTTAGGATTCCTCTGCCCCCCCACCAATTTATTTCAGTTCCAATATAACACTTAATAAAAGGGGGAAAGTGTTCTCTTTTAGGTTAGCCTACTAAGCAGTGCTTTCTTCAGTTTACTTCTGATCTCACCTAGAAGATCAAAAGCTTTGCAGAGAGTCTTCCAATTTTGGACATTTTTTCCCAGCCAGCCTTACTGAATTTCTCCCGCCAGATCATTCCTACTTTTTATTTTGTCCTTTTCACCCCTACTGCTTCTTAGATTCCACGTTCAATTTAATCAGACTTCAAGGGTACATAATTACATTGAAATCATACAGTATTGATCAGACTCACTGACTTCCTGCCTCCACCTAATCCTGACTACCTTTCTAGTCTGGTTGTAGAGCCTCACATCTACCCTCTGGTGTATCTGTTCCTCCACTAGTTCCCATCTACTCCCTCAACTGATGTTCTTTCCCTAACTGTTCTTTTCTGACCACCTAATAGAGACACAACTCTATTAGCTATGCATTCTTCAATTTTTATCAAAGCCTTTTGATGCTTTTTGTTTATAAAAGACAATCATATTTGGATTTTGAACACTAAAATTATTCATGAAATGCTTGATGCTTTTAATGGTTCTGGCTAAAACAAACTGCCAAAAACCTTCTTATGTAGCTATGAAATTCTTCTAATTATGTAAACAGAGACCACAGCTCTTCAATATTCAAACTGGAGTTTGTACTTTAATACTTTTTATGCACTACATTTACTATGAGAAGAAAAAATTTCTGAATTGTGTTAGAAAAAAGTGATTTCCATTATGTTCTCATCTAAGTCCTTCAGACAACTGCTCTGGGTCCCAATGCTCAACATTGAAAAAGTTTGAAAGGAACATGGGCTATTTCTTTTGTTACCCTTTGAAAAAATCCTGATAGTTTTAACATTTCAGGATATATTAAGCTGAAAATTTCACTACATATTATGAAAACTGTTAAGCTTCTAGAACTTCTTTTGAGAATACCTTGTGGAAGAGGCTTATTTGCCTCTTTGTTTTATGCTTATTAGATGGTTCAGAGGAATTACATTTGTAAAGAAGTTTTGATATTTATGGGAAGAACTACACTGCTGAGGTACTTTTAGAAAGAATGATAAACTAATATTCAGTAATTACTAATTATCTTACACAAGCCCTAATTATGTTAGCTCTGAGAGAAATGCCTAAGAAATATCCAACACAATATAGACCTTCCAGGAGCTGTGAAACAACTTAGAGGATCACTGAGGAGCATATAGGGTCTGAGGGGAAAATGAATTGTAACTAAGAGCCATTAAGAACAATGGCAGGTCCCTAACTAGAGCAGTCAGTGCTGCACAGGGCGGCCTAGGGAAGACATCAGCAACATTGGAAGATAAATATGTAACTGCACACAGTAAAACAGAGACATGAACTACACAGACTTGAAATTTATGTGGTATTTTTGGAATTTTGGAAATTATATGAAATATTAACTTGATAGAGAAACCTTAAGGCTTCAAAATATACTTAATTAAAAATGGCTACTAGAAGGTGTTAGATGTGACCACATTCACTTTGCATTTCAGTGCTGTCCAACCTAAGAAAACGTCCTGATGCTTTCTGCTGAGGGTGTTGCTGCATTTAGACATTTGGAACTGCACTAGAGATATTGTGCCATTAGGAACAAGTGATTCTGAAGCTGATATATAAACAACAAAGGTTGTAGTTGTGAAAGAGTCCTGGGTTGGGGGCAGGGCAGAAATGCTTCCAGCCACAGTTCCAAGGAAGGGAAAAGTAGATAACAGTATAGGGATTTGGATGCCTTTTATTTCTTTTTGTTGTCTGATTGCTGAGGGTAGGACTTCTAGTACTATGTTGAACAACAGTGATGAGAGTGGACATCTCTGCCGTGTTCCTGTTTAGGGGAAAATTCATTTCACAGAATGAGATTCACTGTGGCTTTTCATATATGGCTTTTATGATATGGAGGTATGTTCCCTCTATCCCTACACTGTGAAGAATTTTAATCAAGAAAGGATGCTGTATTTTGTCAAGTGATTTTTCTGCATCTATTGAGAAGATCATATGGTTCTTGTCCTTTATATTAATGTAGTGTATCACATTGATTGACTTGTGGATGTTGAACCACCCTTGCAGCCCAGGAATAAACCCCACCTGGTCGTGGTGAATAATCCTTTTAATGTACTGTTGGATCCTGTTGGCTAGTATCTTGGTGAGAATTTTTGCATCAAATGTTCATTAGGGGTATTGGTCTGTAATTCTCCTTTTTGGTGGAGTCTTTGTCTGGTTTTGGAATCAAGGTAATACTGACCTCATAGAAAGAGTTTGGAAGTTTTCCTTCCATTTCTATTTTTTGAAAGAGCTTCAGAAGAATAGATATTAATTCTTCTTTAAATGTTTGGTAGAATTCCCCTGGGAAGCCATCCGGCCCTTGACTCTTGTTTGTTGGGAGATTTTTGATGACTGCTTCAATTTCCTTGCTGGTTATGGGCCTGTTCAGGTTTTCTATTTCTTCCTGTTTCAGTTTGTAGTTTATATGTCTCTAGAAATGCATCCATTTCTTCCAGATTGCCTCATTTGTTGGCATATAGTTGAATCTGCTCAGGGTCCTCGTGTTCTTATAGTTGTTTGTATTTCTTAGGTGTTGGTTGGTTTATCAATCTTATTATTTCAAAGAGCCAGCTCCTACTTTCATTGATCTGTTCTTTTGGTTTCTATTTCCTTGATTTCTGCTCTATTCTTTATTAATTCTCTTCTTCTGCTGGGGTTAGGCTTTATTTGCTGTTCTTTCTCCAGCTCCTTTAGGTGTAAGGTTAAGTTGTGTATTTGAGACCTTTCTTGTTTCTTGAGAAAGGCTTGTATTGCTATCTACTTCCCTCTTAGGACCACCTTTGCTGCATCCCCAAGATTTTGAACAGTTTTGTTTTCATTTTAATTTGTTTCCATGAATTTTTTAAATTCTTTTTTAATTTCTTGGTTGACCCATTCATTCTTTAGTAGGGTGCTCTTTAACCTCCAACTATTTGAGTTCCTTCCAAATTTCCTCCTGTGATTGAGTTCAAGTTTGAAAGTATTGTGGTCTGAAAATATGCAGGGAATAATCCCAGTCTTTTGGTACTGGTTGAGACCTGATTCGTGACCCAGTATGTGATCCATGCTGGAGAATGTTCCAGGTGCACTCGAGAAGAATGTGTATTCTGTTGCTTTAGGATGGAATGCTCTGTATGTATCTGTGAAGTCCATGTGGTCCAGTGTGTCATTCAAAGCCCTTGTTTCTTTGTGGATCTTCTGCTTGGATGATCTGTCCATTGCAGTGAGTGGGGTATTAAAGTCCCTTACTATTATTGTATTATTATCAGTGTGTTTCTTTAATTTTGTTATTAATTGATTTATACAGTTGGCTGCTCCCATGTTAGGTGTATAAATATTTACAATTGTTAGACATTCTTGTTGGATAGACCCTTTAAGTATGATATAATGTCCTTCCTTGTCTCTTATTACAGTCTTTGATTTAAAATCTAATTTGTCTGATATAAGGATTGCAACCCCAGCTTTCTTTCGATGTCCATTAGCATGATAAATGGTTCTCCACTCCCTCACTTTCAATCTAGAGGTGCCTTTGGGTCCAAAATGAGTCTTTTATAGAAAGCATATTGATGGGTTTTGCTTTTTTTTTTTTTTTCAGGTCTCCAGAGCATTTATTCTTTCCCAGTGGGGAGGGTGTAGGGGGTCCAAGTGGTCAGAGGGGAGCAGACCCCTACGTGTACCACATGAAGCCGTAGGTGGCGTTGAGAATCTCCTCATTTGTGCACAGCCCATAGAGCTCGCCCATCATGGGAGTCACCCAGCGCGTTGTGTGGAACACAGACTCACCCACCTTCTAGTCAGGCACATCCTTCATGATGATGGCCTCCTCCTCCAGGTTCTCTCGAAGCATCTGCAAGACCCTCCGGTCCTTCTCTGCCTGCAACAGTGGCATCAGCACGATGCGGGCCTCGAAGTCCTCAATCTGCAAGCGCCCGACAGTCCCCGACGAGGGAGGTTCCGCTTGTAGTCGATGGGGCTATAACCCCCCGGCGGGTGGGTCTTGCTTTTTTATCCAATCTGATACCCTGTGTGTTTTGACTGGGGCATTTAGCCCATTTACATTCAGAGTAACTATTGAAAGATATGAATTTAGTGCCATTGTATTGCCTGTAAAATCATTGTTTCTGCAGATTGTCTCTGCTCCTTTCTAGACTATGTTACAAAGTCCCACTCTTCGCAGGTGACATGATACTCTATGTGGAAAACCCAAAAGACTCCACCCCAAAATTGCTAGAACTCATACAGGAATTCAGCAACATGGCGGGATATAAAATCAGTGCACAGAAATCAGTTGCATTTCTATACACTAACAATGAGACCGAAGAAAGAGAAATTAAGAAATTAAGGAGTCGATCCCATTTACAATTATACCTCAAACTGTAAGATACCTAGGAATAAAACTAACCAAAGAGGCAAAGGATCTATATTCATAAAACTATAGAACACTCATGAAAGACATTGAGGAAGATAAAGAAATGGAAAAACGTTCCATGTTCATGGATTGGAAGAACAAATATTGTTAAAATGTCTATGCTACCTAGAGCAATCTGTACTTACAATGCAATCCTATCAAAATACCATCAACTTTTTTTCACAGAGCTGGAACAAATAATCCTAAAATTTATATGAAACCAGAAAAAAATCCCAAATAGCCAGAGGAATGTTGAAAAAGAAAACCAAAGCTGGTGGCATCACAATGCTGGACTTCAAGCTCTGTTACAAAGCTGTAATCATCAAGATAGTATGGTACTTGCACAAAACAGACACATAGATCAATGGAACAGAATAGAGAACCCATAAAAGAACACTCACTGCTGTGGTCAACTAATCTTCGACAAAGCAGGAAAGAATATCCAATGGAAAAAAGACAACCTCTTCAACAAATGGTCTTGGATAAATTGGACAACTGCATGCAGAAGAATGAAACTGGACCATTTTCTTACACCATACATAAAAATAGACTCAAAATGGATGAAAAACCTAAATGTGAGACAGGAATCCATCAAACTCCTAGAGGAGAACACAGGCAGCTACCTCTGTGACCTTGGCCGCAGCAACTTCTTGCTAGACACATCACCGAAGGCGAGGAAAACAAAGGCAAAAATGAACTATTGGGACTTCCATCAAGATAAAAAGATTTTACACAGCAAAGGAAACAGTCAACAAAACCAAAACAGCCCACAGAATGGGAGAAAATATTTGCAAGTGTCTTATCAGATAAAGGGCTAGTATCCAAAATCTATAAAGAACTTATCAAACTCACTCAAAAAACAAATAATCCAGTAAAGAAATGGACAGAAGACATGAACAGTCGTCTCTCCAAAGAAGATAACCAAATGGCCAATAGACATATGAAAAAAATGCTCCACATCACTTGGCATCAGGGAAATACAAATCAAAACCACAATGAATACCACCTCACACCAGTCAGAATGGCTAAAATTCACAACTCAGGAAACGACAAATATTGGTGAGGATGCGGAGAAAGGGGAACCCTCTTACACTGTTGGTGGGAATGCAAACTGGGGCAGCCACTCTGGAAAACAGTATGGCAGTTCCTCAAAAAGTTGAAAATAGAGCTACCCTATGACCCAGGAATTGCGCTACTGGGTATTTACCCCAAAGATAAGAATGTAGGGGTCCAAAGGGACACCTGCACTCCAATATTTATAGCAGTAATGTCCACAACAGCCAAACTATGAAAAGAGCCCAGATGTCCATCAACAGATGAATGGATAAAGTGGTGTGTGTGTGTGTGTATACACACACACACACATATGTATATACATACAATGGAATACTACTCAGCCACAAAAAAAAAAATAATTCTTGCTATTTGCATTGTGGATGGAACCAGAGGGTATTGTGCTAAGTGAAGGTCAATCAGAGAAAGACAATTATATGATCTCACTCATATGTGGAATTTAAGAAACAAAACAGAGGATCACAGCTTGGAAGGGAGGGAAAAATAAAACAAGGCAAAATCAGAGGGAGACAAACCATAAGAGACTCTTAAATCATAGGAAACAAACTGAGGGTTGGTTGAGGGGAGAGGGTGGGGGCATAGGGTAACTGGGTGATGGACATTAAGGAGGGCACGTGATGTAATGAGCAATGGGTATTGTATTAGACTGATGAATCACTGAACTCTATCTCTGAAACTAATAATGCACTATATGTCAATTAATTTTATTTAAATAAAAAAATGGTGTTTAAAAGAACAGTGTGGGAGGGAGTTTATTATGGCTGAGGAGGAAACCTGCTTTTGTGGACCTTTAAAATATGTAATCAGCCATTAAAGAGTTCCTGCTACTGGTGAAGAAATGAGAGTCACCAAAGTAGCACTATCCTTATTAAAAAAAATCTAGCAAGACTTCCTTATTTCTAATTTTAAAAAACTTATTCCTTTAGTAAATAAAATGTGGTAAGAGAAACCATTTGCAGAATCCAGAAGAGTCTCTGAATAGCTGTTTTATGGAAGAAATCCCATTAAAACCCAGCAACGCTTAGAAAAATGCATTTGAGCATTAATGCCCAATGAGTTTCTTAGCTGGTTTTCCTTCATCGCAGTTCTGAGGTCTGTCTTGATTTTTTCTCAACCATGACTCCGTGGTGATCTTGGCACACCTTGGAGGCAACAGTGCCTAAGCCCTCTGCTCATTGGCCAGCTCTTTTCTCATCTTGTCCTCATTTCTCTTCATCCATCCAGCTAAGACCTTGTACGTCAGATGTTCTCACCATCTTCTCAAACTCAATACATTCAAAGCTTAAGCTCATGATTTTTCTCACTTTATCTCCTGTTCATGGAACCACTTTTCTCAGTGCTCCAAGCTCCCTGCTGAGCCTCATAATCTCTTACTGCCTAAAACTAAGATGTTACTGGGGCCTCTAACATTCCTATACGGTTCTCTTGTCCTTTGTCACTGTCCTGGTTGTCAGCCACCACTTAGTCTTGCTCACATGGCTGACAGAGGCTGCACTCTCCAGCCACTCTGTGATTTCAGATGTCCTGTCTTGTCCCAGCATTCCCCTGAGAGAAAACTCTGATGCTTCACAAGGCATCCTGGCGTCTCCTTCCTTACCTGCTTGACTTGTGGGCTGGCCGTTATCAGGCCCCATCCACTCTGTTCTCTCTCCATGCCCCCTCCCAGGGCTCCAAGTGGTGCCCTTTCTTCACTAGACCTATGTGTCAAGCTCCCATACACCCTGCTCCACACTGAACCACCACTATGCATATGAAAGCACTTCATAAATTGGGCTCTAGCCCACAAATAAGCCTATTTTTTCTTCCAAATTTTTATTTAAATTTTAGTTAGCTAACATACAATGTACTATTGGTTTCAGGAGTAGAATTCAGTGATTCGTAACTTATATGTAACACCCAGTGCTCATCGTAACAAATGCCCTCCTTAATACCCATCACCTATTTAGCCCATCCCCCATATCCCTCCATCAGTCCTCGATTTGTTCTCTATCCTTAAGAGTCTCTTATGGTTGGCCTCTCCCTCTCTTTTTCTCTTTTTTTCCCCTTCCCACATGTTCATTTGTTTTGTTTCCTAAATTGCACATATGAGTGAAATACAATGATATTGTCTTTGACTGACTTATTTTGCTTAGCATAATACACTCTAGCCCAATCCATGTTGCTGCAAATGGCAAAATTTCATTCTTTTTCGATGGCTGAGTAATATTCCAGTGTGGGTGTATGTGTATGTGTATAGGCACACATACACATATACATAACATATGTATACATATGCACATATACATACACATACACATATTCCACCTCTTCTTTATCCCTTCATCAGTCAGTGGACACTTGGGCTCTTTCCATAGTTTGGCTATTGTTGATAATGCTGCTATAAACACTGGGGTGCATGTGCCCCTTTGAATCTATATTTTTGTATCCTTTGGGTAAATACCTACTAGTGCAATTGCTGGATCATAGGGTGGTTCTATTTTTAACTTCTTGATGAACCTCCATACTGTTTTCCAGAGTGGCTGCACCAGTTTGCATTCCCACTAACAATGTAAGAGGGTTCCCCTTTCTCCACATCCTTGCCCACATCTGTTGTTTCCTGTGTTGTTAATTTTAGCCATTCTGAATGGTGAGAGGTGGTATCTCATCATGGTTTTGATTTGTTTTTCCTTGATGATGAGTGATGTTGAACATCTGTTTTCATGTGTCTGTTAGCTATCTGGGTGTCTTCTTTGGAAAAATGTCTGTTCATGTTCTTCTGCCTATTTCTTAACTGGATTATTTGTTTTTTGGGTGTTGAGTTTGATAAGTTGAGTTTTATAGATTTGGGGTACTAACCCTTTATCAGATATGTCATTTGCAAATATCATCTCCTATCCCATAAGCTGCCTTTTAGTTTTGTTGATGGTTTCCTTTTCTGTGCAGAAGCTTTTTATGTTGATGAAGTCCCAATAGTTCATTTTTGCTTTTTGTTTCCCTTGCCTCTGGAGATGTGTCTAGTAAGAAGTTGCTGTGGCCAAAGTCAAAGAGGTTGCTGCCTGTGTTCTCCTCTAGGATTTTGATGGATTCCTGTCTCACATTTAGGTCTTTCATCCATTTTGAGTTTATTTTTATGTGTGGTATAAGAAGGTGGTCCAGTTTCATTCTTCTGCATGTGGCTGTCCGGTTTTCCCAATATGATTTGTTGAAGAGACTGTCTTTTTTCCACTGGATATTCTTTCCTGCTTTGTCAAAGATTAGTTGACCATATAGTTGTGGGTCCATTTCTGGGTTCTCTGTTCTGTTCTGTTGATGTATATGTCTGTTTTTGTGCCAGTACCATACTGTCTTAATGATTACAGGTTTGTAATAAAGCTCAAAGTCCAGAATTGTGATGTCTCCCACTTTGCTTTTCTTTTTCAGGATTGCTTAGGCTATTCATGGTCTTTGGTGGTTCCATATTAATTTTAGGATTTTTGTTCTAGCTCTCTGAAAGATGATGGTGGTATTTTGATAGGGATTGCATTAAATGTATAGA